TGTGTGTGTGTGTCTTTTTGAGACAGGGTCTCCCTGTAGCCCCAACTGGCCTAGAACTCGCTATGTGAGACAAGTCTGGCCTCGATTTCATAGAGATCCACTTGCATTTGCCTCCCAAGTGCTGGGATTAAAGACATGCACCACCATGTCCCATTAAATTATAGTTTTTTTAAAGATGGATATTATTAAAATTCCTTTAAGCTCTTTGATTTGAGATTCTGTCTTTGTCTTATAGAATAAGTACCATTATTTTATACCTTATGAATTTTCAGCTTTCAGAGAAAGGGAAACCTTATGTTGATATCCAAGGTTTGACTGCTTCTACCATGGAAATCCTGTTGGACTTTGTATACACAGAAACCGTACATGTGACAGTAGAGAATGTACAAGAACTGCTTCCTGCAGCATGTCTACTTCAGCTGAAAGGTACAGATAATAAAAGGAGTTCTTGTTCATGACAAAATAGCCCCGGAAATGCTTTTCATTGATGTAAACTTAACCATGAAGCTTCTGGAGACCAGACTAGAAGCACTCATGTTTATTATTGCCCATGACTTTTGAATCTTTGAGTAGAAAAGATCAGATGTATTCAATAGCATTGCAAAAGAACCTCCCAGATGTGAGTATTTGGCTCATAAAAGACAGCACATATACCACTTAACACTTTTTCTGTTTTTTAAAACATTGACGCATTAGGCATGATGGCTAACACCTGTAATCCCAGCACATACGAAGCTGAGGAAAGAGGATGTGTTCAAGGACAGTCTGATCTACATAGTGAGACCATATTTCAAAATCAAACCAACAAACAAGCAGAAAAATGTAAAAAACAGGCATTTGTGTGTGTGTGTGTGTGTGTACACAATATATAAGGATTTCCAAAAGCTATTCATTTTCCTGGCTGCTAGATAGATAGGAGACTAGGAGGACATGTGCCACCCTCAAATCTTGTTATGCATCAGCACATTACCCATCTGACATGAAAATTAAATAAGTAAATAAATAAATAAGAATAAAATTTAACTCTTGGGAGGCAGAGGCAGAAGGATTTTAAGTTCCAAGCCAACATGGTCTACATTGTTAGACCCTATCTCAAAACAAAAACTAAATAAAATTTAAATTGATGTACAAAAATTAAAATACAGTTTTCACAGTATTATGGATGATCTTCCTTCCAGTTTCTAGTCTGATTTTTTTCGGTTTTGTTTGGTTTGTTTTGAGACTAGGTTTCTTTGTTTAGACCATACTGGCCTAGAACTTACTATATATCCCAGTTAAGCCTAATTCCATCCCAGCCTCCCAAGTGCTAGGATTACAGTTGTCTGCCACCAAGACCAGCCAGTCTGTCTTTTTAAACCTCCAATTATGGATATTCATATAATTGAAACATTTTCTCTTTTTGGTTTGTTTTTTGAGACGAGAATCTCACTGTATAGATCATTTATGATCTTCATGCTTAGCCTCCCGAGTGCTAGGATTACAGGCATGCACCACCATTCCCAGCCTACATTTTCTATTCTAATACAAGATTGAAGAATTGAGTTTATACTATGGACTTTTCTTTTCCCAGTGCCATGGATTGACTCCAGGGCTTTCCATGCTAGCATGCTGGACAAACAATTCTGCTTTGCTACTGAGTTGTATACCAAGCTGCTATACTGAACTTTTCATTTAGAGAATTATGGGATTGTTTATACTAGCTTCTGTTTTTTCTCACTGGAGTTTCTAAATGAGTTTGATGTAGAGTAGAAAATAAGAACATTATACTAAATAAGTAATTGGTTTTTAGATTGGTTCCAGTTACCAAGGGTTTTGTAGCTTTTGTTTAATTTGTGCTAGTGTTCCTGAAAATACTCATTTTGCTATACTTACTTTAAAGATGACATAGAAACAGATATAAAGATCTTATTAACAATGACAGCACATGAAACAGAAATAATACTTGGATCCTTTAGGCATGAAATTTCTCATCTTTGTGTTAAGTGTTTAGAGTTCCTCTGATAACATGTAGAAAAGATGTTGAGATCCAAAAATATAGGACTACTTCACACTTGGCCATGTATCCTGAAGTCTGTTCACTGCCTTTGTCCTAGGTGTGAAGCAAGCCTGCTGTGAGTTCTTAGAAAGTCAGTTGGACCCTTCTAATTGCCTGGGTATCAGGGATTTTGCTGAAACTCACAATTGTGTTGACCTGATGCGAGCAGCTGAGGTTTTTAGCCTAGTGTAATGCTTTCATGTATGTAAGTGCAGCCATGTTTTGCAGTGCCCATGGAGGGTAGAAGAGAGTGTCCGATCCCCTGGAACTGGAGTTAACTGATAGTTGTTAGTTCCATGTGGGTGCTGGGTACCAAACCTGGGTTCTCTGCAAGAGCGGCCTTTGCTCTTAATGCTGAGTCATCTCTCCAGCTCAAAAGACCAATTTTTAACTACCATGGCTCCTTAACCTCTGAAATAGGATTAAAACTTTTTTTTTTTTTTTAATTTTACGTATATGAGTATTTTGCCTGCATGGATGCAAGTGCACCCATGTCATGCAATGCCCTCAGAGGCCAGAAGAGGGCAGCTAATCCCCTGGAACTGGAGTTAAGGTTAGTTGTGTTCTGCCATGTGGGTGCTGGGAACCAAACCCTGGTCCCTTTCAAGAGAAGCCAGTGCTCTTAATCACTAAAGCTATCTCCCCAGTCTCAGAAATAGAGATTTTATATTCTAGCCATTATAAGTGTACAATGCTATGAGCCAGTGCTCAGTCATAAGGCTGGTAGGATTTTTAAAAGGCTAATTTAAAAAATGATCTTGTGTAATATATATGTCTTATACTTTTTTTTAAAATTTTATGTATATGAGTGTATTGCCTGCATGTATGTAAGTGCACCCATGTCATGTAGTGTCAGTGGAGGTCAGAAGAGACTGTTGGATCCCCTGGAACTGGAGTTAGGGACAGTTGTTAGCCATGTTAGCATGAAATTTCATTGAATATTTTGTATTTTAAGCTATGTATGATGGCAAATGCCTATAATCCTAGCACTCAAGAATCTGGGGCAGGAGGATGGCTACAAGTTCCAGGACAGCTGAGAAAGAGAGAGAGAGAGATGTTTTATCATAAAAGCACGTGGACAGTAGTGGTATGTTCATGAAATTTAGTATTCTATTCTGTAAAACATCTATATTCATTTTAATATAGAATTAAAATGAATCTATATTCATTTTAATTATTCACTAGGAAATTTGATAATTCTATTTATTCCTGAAGATACAGATAACTGCCCACTTCATTTTAAAATGTACAAATACATACCAT